AGAATGATCAAATTAAATCTAGAAAAAAAAAGATAACGTGTTAGTTCAAATATAAAATAAAATAAAAAAGAAAAAAGAAAATGAAAAGAATCACAATTTACCCATTGTTGTTACTCACTATCAAATTACTAACCCATTCGCTATTTAAACTAGTGTTACGAATCAAAAGTTGAAAAATCGATTAGTTGGTTAGTTGACAATTAATCGATTGAACTTTTTAGACACCAACTAATCGATTAATCAATTAATCACCTAATCGATTAGTTCTGTAGTTGCAATTATGTGAAATTTGAAGATCAATAAAAAAAAAGTATGTAATCACTAATTTCCGATTTCTTCAACAAGCAAAATTTATCATTTGTAAAAATTTGATTGGATATTTTAATGCGCAACACCTATTTTTGTAAATATATTACGTACAAAATGATGAATACGTATGCAACTTTTATTTTTATAAAAAATAATAAAATTTTTACAAAATAATAGATACACAAATTTTGTCTAATCTAAAAATTTTTGAGTAATCAGAAATTAGTGATTACTTTTTTCACATAATTTTGCAAACCGCAATAATCGATTAGTTGCAAAGAATTGATATAACGTCCATCCAAATAAAATTTTTATTGAACATAGTTCAAATGCAAACACTGGTTGTCTTGTTGTACCGATAGTAAACAATACCGACTGTTTTGGTGTACATGATATTGATCTTTTAGAGGGCGTAAACTGAAATGCCCACTTTTTACAAAAATTTTCTTGAAAAAAAGTGAGGGTTAACGAAATAATCGATTAATCGATTAGTTGCAACCAACTGGAAAAATAACAATTGAAACAATTTTGCCAATTTTTAACACTAATTTAAACTAGAGACATCATGATCGAATAAATGAGAATTAGAAGAAAGAAGAAAGCGCATTAGTACAAATGAAAAAAAACTATAAAACAAAAGAGAATAAAAAGAAAGAAAGAGAAAAAGAAGAGGGCAAAGTAAAAGTGAATAGAAAAAAGATAGAGAAGCGAAAAGAAAAATGAAAATGAAAAAAATGAGAAACAAAAAACTGATCAAAAAGAAAAACGAAAAGAAGTTGAAAGGAAAAAAAATATTTTTTAAATGATATTCGATCTATCTGATTTTTGATGCAATAACGGTTTTATTCAATGACAATTTATTTTACAATAATTTTATTATTAGTAACACCATTTCGTTCAATCTCAATTTTGATCACCTGTCTCTGACTTTTATCATGTGTTTTATATATACACGTAATAGATAATTGAATGTAATAATTATTTAATATTACTTAATATAGGTCATTATTACTTACAAAATTACTTTGCCCATCTCTAAATAAGATTAATGATTTCTATCTCAGTTTATGAAATAAGATCAATAATTTTTATCATAGTATTGATTTATTTTATAGTTAAAGCATTGAATAAAAATATCTATAATAACCAAATCGATCGATATGTTTCTCCACAACACAATTATTGAAAAAAATTTTGATTACATAGTATACCCAATATTACACGTGTACCATACTAGTGTTGTTAGTCGAAATAATTTAGGCAATTTTGACTGTTATTTTTTTAAAAATTACTATTAAAAATTTAATTTAGACATTTTTAGACATTTAGACAATTTCGACTAACAACATTATACTATACACTATGTCTCGCGTTATGTGATTTATTTGTATCACAACTTGTTGTTCAACAACAGGTCGAGATTTTATATTTCATTTCAAATGTATCAAGTTCGTGTTAGTAAGTGAATTAAAGATTAGTCAGTGAAGACCTCTATTCATCAAACATATAAATAGAACCATGATTCGATGTGCTTTCCACTAGCTATTCATTAATAAAGAGTAAAGAGTAATTGTGTCTTCATACACGAATAACTCAAAGCTTTATTAATAAACTATTGTATCTTTATATACATTTAGTTGTTCGTCCCTTTTATACAAGACTAACACGAGACATTTGTTTATTATTGTCTTCAGTTATTCCATTCTTATAAAGAATCATCTTATCAATTATTCTACAAGATGAATTCCAACAAAAACGAAGTTCACAATAACAACTATGTATCAGATTGCAACAACTCAAGGATTGTTAATAACAACTTGAGATATGGTTTGATAAATTATTACGAAGGGTTCTCGAAAATTTGGGTGGTGTTGGCAATTTTGTTGGCAATTTTGTTGGCGATTTTGTTGACAATCTTGTTGGTAATTTTGTTGATTTATTTGAACAATCACAGTGCCAAAAATAATAATTTTATCGAAATGGTTGTAAATTTAGTTAACGCATGTTATAATATGTACAAATCATACGTAGTCTGATCAAAGATGCTTATCATTATTATTAACTCTTATCATTATAGATTCATATTAATATTAGTATCTTATTATTATCATAAATAAAAATTTTTGGTTTATTAAAGAAACTTTATCAATTATTGTCTGAATGCAATGTTTGTTGGAAACTACCAATGAAATTCAAGAATTGAAGGTTCCCATGACTATAACTAATGATAGTTCGGACTTTCATCAGATTCTGATTTCTGATTTTCCATATATTATTGGCCTTTGTAACTCAAGATTCCAAAATTCATTTTTCCGAAGAAACACAAATTGTTGACAGAGCTACACAATAACTTGTCAATACTTTTTTTTAATAGTGCAGGTTTTTTTGCTTCTTGAAGCTTAAAAAACTTC